CCCCCCCCCCCCCACTCTTTCCCTCCGCGTCTTCTCTTTTTTTTCTCTCCAGACATCCTACATATTCATGCGCGTGCTGTGTGTCGATCCGTCCGTCCATCCATCCTGTCTATCCATACGTACATACGTACATACGTCCGTCCGTCCGTTAGCCCGTCCATCCGCGCGCGGAACACTGCTGCACGCGCGTGCAGCGGAGCGCGCGCGTGCGAGCGTGTTTTGCGTCGGCGTGCGCACACGCAGGATTCGATATATATGTACGTGTGGTACGTACACACACGTGTACATGTAGATGTGTGTAGATTTTGCGTCGGTATCGGAGCACGCAACGCGCACGATATACGCCGATGGGGGCCGTGTGGGCACCTTATATCCGGTGACACGCGTGTCCGCGCATCTTTATTAATCGCTCGCCCGTTAGCCCGCCTTCGAGATCTCACGTGTGTCTGTCAACGTTAGAAATTAACGCGTTCGCGCGCCCGAATCGATCGTCACTCTGGTTGTGTGTACTAGAAACCTTATAGATAGAACAGAATCCGACAATGAGCGGTTTTGTTAAAATCTTACGAGGGAGAGGGAGAGAGAAGTAATACCGTGTATACATATGTACTCTCTGTATATATCCCTCTAAATTCTTTCAAGTGGAATTTCTCTTTAAAGAGAGAAAATTCGACCGGTCTCGATAAGAAGAGAGAATGGGTGAATTTTCAATCTTTAATGCCCGTTTCTACTGATATCATTAATTTTAATCTTGGCTCCAATTTTTGGTATTAGAAAAAGATGATGAGTTAGTCGAGAGAACCGAGATTAAAGATTTCACTCTATAATGTTTGCTCCACTATGGTGTCGTAGGTCGTAAGAAATCGGTCAATTATAGTTAAATGTGAAGCGAATAATCGACTGTTTAATTGTTTAATCTCTTACGTCTTATTACAGGCTTGAAAGTTTAGAGAACGTGCTATCTCACTTTAACTTACTGTCTCGCTCTATAATCCTGATTAAGTTACAGAGTGAAGTAATTAAAGGAAGGAGAAAGATGATATGCACAGTACATATCTTTCTCTCTTCGAGAATTTTGACAAACTTGCTCGTTGCCATCAGACTCTATTTTTAAGCACGCACTATCGCGCACGATTCTCGGCGGGGAGGCGTCGTTAATTCCGTTGTTAATTAGCGGAACGGCGACAACGGTGATGATGGTTTATCGCGCGAGGTGGTTTATCCGCGAGATCGGCTTTACGCGAGACGCACGACGATATACCGTGCTCTCGTCTTGTATGTATATGTATGGTGTATAAACTATATGAGACGCCACTGCGCCGTGTCGCGGGACCACCTACGACAAATGTGGCAGCCCGCAAATAATACCGGGCGTGTGTTGTACCACCGGCGACAGCGCCGGAGATACAGGGCTCTAACTGCCAACGCGGTATCGTGGTTTAGTGCCTCCGATTATTTCCCTTCCTCCCCTACGGGCGACATGCGTATGTACATATTTACGGGATGTCCCTTCGAGAGAGATCGTTAGACAAAAACCGCGCAAGGCGACAACGCAGACGGCTTTCGAAACGCTAAGAAAACGTCGAATGGTATAACGTTAATTGGTAGAAAAAAAATCAAAGGATTTTGGCTCGAGTGAATCTTTGGAGCGTGATTAATGATTAATGAAATCGGCTTTTTGTTTCATTTTCCGTATCGTTCTACACTGGATTGCCACAAAATCGGAAGTCAAGATTGCGGAAATCAAGAAACTTATCAAGAGAATTGAAAACGAGAAATTGAAAATTTTTTCTAGAAAATTAAAATTGTTTTCTTTGGAGATAAGTTTTATGTATTGATACGTACATGACAATTAGTTGAATACGCGGTATAGCATTTTTAATTGGTTGCAGCAGTCAATCTTTTCTTTCAATGTACCAACTTGACAATTAAAAGAATAATACTACAACAATAATAATAGTAATTCACATTGTTATGTAAAATTTATTATTGACAAAATATATTGAAAGATTTCTAATCAGGATGAAAAGAATTTCAAAATATCATATTATTGAAGAAAATTATGAAACAAACATTTTGCCTGAAAATTAGGGAAAAGTTATAATAAAATTTTAAGACGAGAGGAATTTCTAACAATTCCGACAGAAATCTAAATTACGAGTCAATTATTAGAAATCATCGCTCATCATTACAGCACGGATTTACAAAGAATTATATTTTTAAAATGTTCGCAGAAAACGTCTCCGTGTTCTAAAGACGTTTCCAGAACATTCTTCGAATAAAGTGTGCTAGGCATTAAACCTTAAGGCTAATTCTACAATGTGCTTTTTGTTTCCTGTTTCTTGCTGTTTGTCTCTTGCCTATATACTTGATCAAAAGACCAAGAGACAAACAGAAACAAACAGCAAGAAACAGGAGACAAAAAGCACATTGTAGAATTAGTCTAAGAGAATTTGTGGTTTTTGTAGATTTTTGGTACAACCTATTCTAATCGGTCGAAGAAGTAAGTGACAATCGAAGAACGAAAAAGACACTCTGTATATTCTCTTCCGCAAGAGGAGGGGGGATACGCTCGTCTTCTCGTAAAATACCGAACCGCCTTCTGTTTGCGGCCCTTAAACGACAGGGATCGGCATGTACAGTATCTCACTATAATGGTGCTTGCTGCAGAAGGGCCGATAACGTCGACCTCGTTGGTCGATTTAAGGGACGGTGCTGCCGATTGAAAATTATTGGCCGTGCAGGTATACGAGTCGTTTCACGTGCCGTTTCTCCTCGAAAACTCTCAAGAGTCTCTCGGCTTCAATAATTATACATTTGAATTAAAATTTTCGCAACGACGACGTCCATTATACTTAAAAAAGAAAAAAAAAAAATCGCGTCTAGGTGTAAAAACGTTCGATCAACGTCTTGATATAAATATATTATTAAGATAATAAAACGTAATAAGCCATACCAAGCCGCAGTGACCTTTCAGATCGCCGCGAGGTAGGATAGATCGGCGAAAGATTGGCAACCGATTGAAATTAAATAGACGCGCGGTGGAAGTGCGTAAGAATTGTCTGAACTCCACCGAGGGAAAGGCCCACTTTTCTTCACGTACAAAACGTACGTATCACTCTCTCAATGCCCCATCCTCCCTTCTTCTTCGCCACCTCCGCGTTTCGCTTCCCCTCGTCTCCATCTCGGTCGGCTCGCGAACAATAGCACCTCGGCTGCACGGTGGATGAACTTCTGAGGCTGGAATCGGCTCTGCCCACTCTGTAAATTGCGTTTTCGTAAAAATATTCATAG